GGAATTCCCTGCCTGCAGATTTGTTCTCTAAATGCTAATAACTTGGGCCTTTTCCAGGCAAGAGTGAAAAGATATTAACGATGCGACCTCGTTCATAGTCATCCCGCCTTTTTATCACCATCTTTACGGGTTCCTGGTCACTTTTAAAATTTTGAGTCGTTCTCGAATTCGTTTGAATTCTCGAAGTCTTAACGTTGGTTCGTACCGTCATCATTCTCATCAAAATTCTCGAAGTGAGAGAACGAGCTTATTTATCATCATGTACTCCAACTCCACTAAACAGTCGAAAATCCAGGTACTTACTCGAAGAGGGCCTATATGGTTACATATATGTCTAATGATTTAAAAACACTTTAAGTGAAGTTTTATATTAATTTTTAATTTCTTACTTATTCAGACGAAAATTTTATCTATTTCCCTGCCCAATAACCGATCAAGGATCATAGTTAAAATATCTTTCCTATTTTCATTTTTATATCTAAACTATACAAAATATCTTTTGTATTTTCTTTCTAACATCCGAACGAATGTTAGAAAGAATATAAAGGTGTTTATTAATTCAAAACTGAAGTCTGAACATCAAGTACGTAAAAAAATATGCTTTCATACATTTATATTGGATTGGCTACCCAACGGTAACACAAATTTTTGTACATAAAAAAGAAAACCTTTTTTATGAATTTCCGAAACCCGTAAAGCAATTGTGTTTATTTTCACATACAGCATATAAAATTAATTTTGACGTTGACCTCATTGTCACTCTGTCTAATGAAAGAAAATGTGTCAATCTACAACGGAGTCGTGTAAGTATTATTTTTAATTGTAAACAGAGTGGAAGCGACAAATTAATTCAAATAGTCCATCCAAAACAGTACCATTAATTAAAACAAAAAAAGAAACGAAAGTCAGTATATCACATCATTTATTATCGGAATAGGAATTAAGCTGTCGCGTGGCCTCGATTTGGTGATGACTTTACGATCTAGACACACTGGGCTCCTGCGGAAGCGAAACATTTAAGATTCTATAAAATAAAAAGAAAATGAGACAGTAAAAGTGATAAGTTTTAGGAGAGCTCATTGATTTAGGTTTCTTATTTGACACCAAATATAATATTTATAATTAATTTCTTCATTCGACTGTTTTAAAAACATCAATTTACAAACAAGTCGTGACTAAGTCAAAGAATGGCGAATCCAGTGCGAGAGAAAATGTCTTAGAAGAAATTAAGAAAAAACGGATGTCGATCGCATATAATTTTTGCTATTCTCTGAATCTCACGATATAAATGAATAGATCCACAGTGTTCGATATGCAACGAGTAGTAAGAGGTTATATGGAAAAATTACAAACATTTTTTGATAGACTCAGAATCTTACGATGGACATAAATGGACCCACAGCACTCGACATGCAACGAGTGGGAGGAAGTAGTAGTAGAGAGAGAAAAAGAGAAATATATTCCAAGAAATTTGTATGAAACTAAACATAAATGGCAAAATTCTTATATTTTCACTTTAGGCAAACACATTTTACATTTTTCTTACATTAATTTATTGTAATCAAAATAAAATACAAGCTTTTGATTTTAGTAAAAAAAAAATTGTCTACAGTGAGACATTGTCGCGTGATAATTGACCGATTGGCAACTTTTTACAAAATTGCACACTTCGCCAAAAATTTAAATAGCACTGGTGCACCCAATAGAGAGTACTTACTATCAATAACAAAATACTTTAACAAATTTTACCCCAAATTCTATAGAATTCTTAGGTTTTGTACAGAGATTGTTAGACAGAAAATGAATCTATGTACTTCGGATCTAAATGGCGTATATTTGTATTTTCAAACAAACCATCGTTTCAGGCCCTTTTTGACGACATTTGTCAATAACAAAAAGTGGCGCCTGCGCCAGAATTTATGTATCGCTTGTTTGACTTGCCATTTGGCAAGACCAACTGTCTTGTATGGCCAGTGAAATTGGTCACCCGATGACTGATTTATCTGTTTATGTTACTTGTCGTGTAAAATACAATTTTGAATTTTTTTATTAATAAAACACACTCAATTACTTGCGCTCTCATACACAGACACACATCTCCTACACATCCACATACATGCTTATACATTAAGTTGTTTTTCGTTTTGGATCCCGGGATACAAGCCTTAGAGCTTAGTGCGGAGTCGACTAGTAATTGTGCCTTAGTCATAACACTTTTTGTTAACAAGAAACAAACATAAACACCCTGTCATACATTGGGTTCTTTTCTATATATTTCATGAATCAATCATAAGACCCTTTGGCGCTGTGTATTTCATTGTTAATAAATATTTCATATTCATTCTGAGAATATCGTCTTTAAAAAAGTTTAATACCAGAATCAGATCTCCGTGAATTCAGAACGAGCTTTTCTTCCAATCATCAGCGAGCAGCCAAGTCAATAAGTGTCGTCAATTGATACAAGGCCGCTTGGGGACGCGCCAAGTGGTCTAGTCATTCGACACCACTGCAAAGCTAGTGCTGTGACCGCAAGCGCAGCTGTTAGGTAACCTGCGGTAACACCTAGGCTTGCTTATATTAATTGCAGTATCATTACGGTATTTATTACGACACTCGGTTAGATCTGTAATTTTGAACGATTGTGACACAGCCAAGACTAATAGACTGTAGGAAAAGTCTCTTTTACATTTAATATATATGAACATGTTATGTTCCCTGTACCTCTTAAGGTATCGTATTACCCAAATAGTGCCAGTTAAAAAAAACACACTGTGTATGTATATTATGGAAGACTCTTACTCCTGTAACATCAGTAGAATCTCAATAAAAACTATCAGCATTTGAAAAAAATAATTTCAAAGATGCGGAAACAGGACACAAAAACTTGCCAAGGAATTTGAATATTGCGATGCAATACGTTTTTATTTATCATCAATTAACATAATGTAGTGCAAAAACGATGAAACAGTCCCCGGAAACATTGGTTGTCATTATAAATTTGTTTTTACCCATGAAGCTGCCAATGTGCACTATTTTGTTGAGTATTGTAGTAATTTCTCTTGTTAATGCTTTTTTATTTTATAACAAACATCGATTATGATAAAAATAACTATAAATATATATTCTATATGACCAAAGGGTATCTCGAAAAATACGTTTTTCATAAAAAATTGAGGGAATACTTGCTTGGGCCTGTGTGTGAATATTTAGTACATTTGAAAGTACATTGGGCGTTTAGCGCTTTTCCCAGTGTAGTTAGCTGGGTCTTAGGAGGTTAAATTGTAATATTGTGACATTAAAATAAAATAAATCATTATTTTCTATTCTATACTTCACCGCTGTTTATCATATCGTCATTAATAAAAGTAGGAAATCATTCCAATTACTTCGGCACAACCAACTGCGTCGCATTCGGCACTCGCGTGATACATTCTACGTGGAAATGTGATGAAGCTATTCTTTTTGCACGAGAATGTACCAGAACCAGGTTGGCCATTAAGCGATAGAGTACAAAAGGAAATATTGGAATGCCACGCTGTATAGAGACTGCAAAAGTTCGAACAATATGTGGAGTAACAGCGTCCATTTCAACATGCGCTGGCGCCAGCGGCGCAGGCATTGTTTGGACTTTAGTGTCCAATGTGCAAGAATATGTCAATAGGTCGTATGGTTTCGTCGTTATCTTGGAAAAAAATTCGAATTCTTAGGTTTTTGCGATTGTTACACATTAGAAATGAAATTTTTTGAAACGGACCTGTATCACTTTATATATTTGTTTTTTAAACAAACCAACGTTTCGGAACTTTCACAGGTTCCACGTCTAATATTAATGCAAACCACCTTATTTGTACTATAGTTACAAAAAATATTAATTAAATACCTTATTTTTATTTTTCCAAAGAGCATTCCTATTTACCTACATACGTTTAACAAAATATTTTATTTTAACAGCATGAATTTTTACTAAATTTAATTTATTATTAATTGCGTAATGGAAAATAAATTAAAAATTAATATAAAACATATTTTTGTTCCGTTTCACGACTATAAAAAAAAATCGAAAGCATGTTCGCGATATGAAGCTTCCGTAAATTTGCAATAATATGCAATTACCAATCATCTGATTTTTTAGTAGAATTTTGTTACTTTCATAATTTACAGTGATTTTCTTCTGTTTTAAATCGAGTTGGCTGTATAATTTTGGTATATTTGGTGTTTCGTTTTTTGTTAATCAACAGAATCTTGTCACTGCAAAGTTTCACAAAAATTAACTACTCATTCTACAATGAAAACAGTATAAGGGCTTTACCTACTGAATTACCATAAGACACAGCTCGGATGAGGAAAGTTCGAGACCGGAATACCTTTTCACTTTCTATGGAATGCAGTCCCTAAAGCTGTATACCATAGAGGAACCGTTGAAGGTCAAACCAACACAGCTTTAAAAGTAAACCGGCGTTGTCGTGCCCTTTTGGAGAATGGATTTTGCATTCACAAAACACGTGATACAATACAAAGTACTATGCAACATTCAGAGAACAGTCGAACGA